CACACACACACACACACACATATTATGTTAGTTTAACATAACAATAAATATATATACATATATATATTATGTTATGTTATATATATATTGATTTCAGAGAGGAAGGGAGAGAGAGAAACATCAATGATGAGAGAGAATCATGGATCGGCTGCCTCGTGCACGCCCCCTACTGGGGATGGAGCCTGCAACCCGGGCATGTGACCCTTGACTAGAATCCAACCCAGGACCTTCAGTCCGCAGGCCAATACTCTATCCACTAAGCCAATCCGGCTAGGGCTCATAACAAGTCTTTAAAACTAGGTTCTTTAAGTTGAAGCAATAAGAATTTTTTTTCCCTTAAAGTTAAGTAATAAATCAATCAAATGAAGAGGTATCTGGGCCTTAAAAATTTGCTGACATATTTTATTTGATAAAAACACAGGTTACTTATCATTAGCGTAGCATTAACAACATGATGCTTATGAATAGCTTGCTGTTTGTAATTGTTCAATGCTTGTTTTGGTGTTGCTCCAAATAGTTGTTCTTTTGACTTGGAGATAAAACAATCCTGGCACTGAACTAAAGGAGTCCTGTGCTTTTCCTCATTAAGAATAGTGCTAATGGCACGCAGAGCAGTCCCTACGGGACCCTTGTGTGAGCTCCAGCACTGAGCATCCTACTCATAATTGAACAACAACAAAAGGTTCGGTCTGTTTTCTACACGCTTCTTATCAGAGGAGGTTACGGGTTGTCCCAAGGGGTGGTTAAACAAATGAGCGGATCATTAGTTGCTCGAAATAAGTCACTTAACCATTTTTTGTGCCCTGTCATGTTATTGTTTTATTTTTCTCTCTTGTTGAAAAATTAACAGTTGGAGGAAAATGTCCTTTGTGTCAAAGAAAATAAGTTATGTATATTTACACATACATATATATATATATATTTAGTTTATGTCACTCTGAGGATAAAAATTGTCATTTAATTTTCGTACATTTTGGTGTACGAAGCTAAGTTCATACCCTACCTGATACTTTCATTCTCTTACCCGAGAATGTGAATGATGGGTTAGGTGGATGTGTTGGGCCCATTAGAGCTATTCTTAGCTACTGTTCTGTATATTCATGGCCTTTATTATATCCCTAAGATGAAGGTATAATTTTTACTTCATAAGAGGGGGGATTCAGACTCCCAGGAGTTAAGCAGCTTGCCAAAGGTCATGAGCTAGTAAGTGTTGCCATGGATTTCGTGCCACATGGGTTTGCATGTTGACTTTAGAACCTAACCCCTGGTAAAGGCTTTATCCTGCTTAAACTCTCCTCCCCCCAATATTAAGCTTTTCCTTATAAGCCCACCCACATTACAGTTCTGATGTTGCTCTTTTTTCCATAGGACTTAACATATGCACTAAGTTAAAGAAGTCCTTATTCCTTGACAAACTGTCTTAGTTTACAATGCCTTAATAGGGTAAAGAATAGGGATCCATTAGCATAACTTACCTATTACTTTTTACTGTTACAGTGCATATTGGACTAACATTTTGGAATAATAACGGCCTCTTTTAATTGTGAGTTAATACATTGAAACAAAACAAAACAAAAAAGCCCCACTGCATTCTAAGTTATAAAATATTTCTAACAAAAATTAATACCTGTCATTCTTATTTTAATTATTCTCAGTGTAATTCACGTTACAGAGGAGGGCCCTGGTACCCCGATCTATTATTCTACGTAAATCCTACAGGGCAGGTTGATGTTTGTACTTAACAAATGAGGCTATTGAAGTTCAGTGAAGTTGCTGCTATGAACGAACATTGACCTGCAAGTCTTTGTGTGAACATATACCCTCAGTTCTCTTGGGCATCCACTCGGGAGTGGAGGAGCTGGGGGCAGATGAACAACTGAAAACCTGGAAAGAAAGTGCAGACATGAACTTGGGATTTATAATGGAACCTCTTGTCTTGTCTGTTCACCTTTATAAGAATAAGTAAAAATAGCCAGAAGCCTGTAATTGGGTTTCCTTGTATATGTTTTAATGGAAGAACGAGGAGAAAAATAACAAATTGCAGAAAAGCAGCCGACAAGCTTCTCTCTTACTGGCAGCTGTTTCTGTAAATAATTCTAATTGGATTTCGTCCAAGGCAAAGGCAGAAGGGGAAGGCATTGTTTGATGGGATATGGCAGTAGGTTGAAATTTTTCACCTTGGGGATTAGTCACTGAAAATAGCGGATGTTCTTTTCATCAACTTGAAACATAACTTGTTTAAACATCCTTTAACCTACATGTGACCCAAAAATGCTTTTCAGTGTTGGGGGCCAGATGGCCTTGAACTTTCTCCATGGTATATCCCGAAACTTAATTTCTATGGAGTAGAAATGGCCACCTCATCTCTGCAGTAACTTTAATCAAACACACCCCACAGACAACTTAAATAATGACTAGATATACTTGAAAATGTAATATCTGATAACCACCCACATTAATAGAGATTGACACCACAGATGAATTTTTAAACAGTTTTTATTAAATTGATTGGGGTGACATTGGTCACCATGAACATACAGGCTTCATGTGTGGGTTTCTATGTTGCAGGATCTGTATGTTGCACCGTGTGCCCACACCCAAAGTCAGATCTTCTCCTGTCACCTCATATTACGATGCCCTTCTCCCCCCACCCCCTTCCCTCTGGCAGCCACCACTCTGCTGTTTGTGTTCGTAAGTTTCAGTTTTAGGAGTGAAATCATATGGTTCTCGGCTTTTTCCGTCTGACTCATTTCACTTAGCGTAGTGTTCTCAGGGCCCATCCCTGCTGTTGCAAATGTCGCTAAATACCAGGCGTGCACTGAGCTTTTGTTTAGCCAGGTGATGCTCCACGTGACGACTTTATGACATTCTTACTAACGGAATGGTTTTCCTTAGTCATTTTCTGGTTGGTTTTTCAGGGCTCCAGGAATATGTGGAGGCCGTCTCTTTCCAACACTTCATCAGAACACGATCACTGATCAGTATGGAGGAAATCAATAAGCAGTTGGTATTTACAACGGAAGACAGTGGGAAAGAAAACAAGACGGTAAGAATTTAAAGCCACATGTCACATTTATTACCTCATTCATGTAACGGTATAGTGATTGTAGGAGGTTTATACTGGCTGCTAGTGGTAGGAATATGGAGAGGGCAGCGTGGTTTCGTAGATTCCCATGCAGGGAAATGGCCTTTTTGACTATTTTAGTTGGTGGCTAGGACGAGAACAGCGGTGGGTGCGTTGAGGGAGAGTAGATCTCCCTGTCCACCTGAAGCACTATTGAGCGATTCCTGTAAGTTCAGTTTCGGTGTCGCTGTATTTACTGTGTGCCCTTTATAAGCACTATCTCATTTCATCCTTTTTAAAAAAATGTGTTGCCTTTATTGGCTGTAATTCAAAGTACATCTATTTTATTTTTTAATCCTCACCTGAGGATATTGTTCCATTGATTTTTAGAGAGTGGGGAAGGGAGGAGGAGAGACAGAGAGAAACATCAATGATGGATCGGTTGCCTCCCGCACACGCCCCGACCAGGGCCGGGGATCGAGCCTGCAACAAAGTAGGTGCCCTGGGTCTCAAGATACAATATTCAAGCAGTGAGGTGAGATTTTAAATGTTTGATATTTCCTGAGATACTAGTATACTTAAAGGTAAAATTAAAGTTTTTTTCTTTATTTTTATCTTTGTTTCTGTTTTAGTATTTAAAAATTACTCAGAGTCAGACGATGTAAGAAGCTATAGAAATAGTGTTTTCTTGAATATTAGCTAAAATGTTTATATTGAAAGCGGGGGACTTAATTTTGACATGACAAATAGAAACTTACTTTAAGGAAGGTACTCATTTTCTCAATTTTTAAACTATATGAAGTTTATAAAGGAGGAAATTCATTTTAACATGCTTTTTTCTCCGAAATCAACTTTTAGTTATAACCAGGGGAACTCCTGTCTAATGATAGAAATAAGAACATTAATATTTTCTTAAGCAAAAGTTATTTTTATAAATGACCTATGCAATGGAGCCCTCTTTCCACTCCTACAGTTTCCCTACCCTTCCTAAAAAGATGCCTTTTCTCTAACAGTTAATAGAAACGGAACATAGCAGGTACTTTATGTCATGCTGTAGTTTTAAAGGCACCAGAATAATCTGAAGCTGACTTTGGATACTTACTCATTTCTGTCATAACTAGCTGTTTTCCTTCTGGTGTCTCTTGGACCTCATCTCATCTCATACTTGACATGGCGAGGACTGGACCAGCTGGTCTCAGAAGAGAGTCCAACAGCATTGAACGAGCTCAGTAATACTCCATTTGACTGCCATGCCCTTGCTTCCTTCTCAGCGACTCTGTTATCTATAAAGTTCAAGTTCCTCAATGTGCCTTATACCCTTAGACTCATCCTGTACTACTTCTCCTTTAACCCTGACCTGGAAGAAAACCTCTAGTTTCTCAGCTGTGAGCTCCGTTGTCACCCGCAGGCCTTTGCAGCCAGCCCCTCTCTAAAGGGGCCTCCATTGTAATTACTTCCCTACGTCTCATACAGACTCTTAGTAACAGTTTAAGCATCGCCTCTTCCTGAAAGAATGCAGTGTGTAGAGAGAGAAATTGATGTGGAGAGAGATTTACATGGTAATGGTGATGGTGATTGATAGCAGCTAGCATTTATTGAGTATTTACTTTGTGTTGGGCGCCATGCCAAGAACGTGGTAAATATTATTTCATCCTTGAAATAAAACCTCTGAGGTAGGTACTGTTATCCCATTTTACAGATGAGGAAACAGGTTTAGAGAGATGAAATAACTTGCCCAAGGGCATACACCTTATGAAGCAAGGTCCTGGACGAGGTGGGAGGAGATGGGTCAAGGTCATTTGGAAGAGGTAACCTCAAACAAGAGGAGGGACCACTCATCACCTGGGACTGGAGGATAGAAGGTAAAGATGGGTGTGGACCTGAGTTTTTTTTTATAGGCATAAGGCCATCGAGAGAGCCTGTGCCAGGTGACCTGGCAACATGACCAGGCCATTGACCGTAGGTTTGGGATTAAGTAGGGGGCTGAGGAGAGTGATGACGGCTTGGAATAATGTCTAAGGAGACTGGAGAGAGAATCATCTCAGATAAAGTGAAAGGAGCGGTGAGTCATTTGCAGTGGAACAAACTACAGATGCAGATGTCATTATTATTATTTTTCAGCTCAGTGGGACTCGACCTCTTGAATAAAGTACTAACAAAAGTAGGTTTTAACATCGATGCAGGCTGTGTTTTCTCTGGGTGCAGTAGAAAAATAGGAGCCTAAAGGAACTGAGGAGGATGTAGCAAGAGAGTAATCAATGAGGATGATCAGTGCTGGATAGGGATAGGAGAGAGGCCAGAAAGGGCCGAGTGGCTTAGGAAGAGGAGAACCAATCACATACGTGGAGACCTCAAGATGTGTTATTTCAATAAGTACGTTTGTCATGCAGTAAAGTGATTGGGCCCTGTTTAAGAATGCTTTAACTTTATTTTGTATGTCAAGTGAAGTTGGAAATAGTTGACTTTATAATGATACAGTATTAGAATTCAAAATTATCTTGAACGAATTTCATTAAACTCCCTACCCAAGGCATGAATTCCTCTTGGAACATCACCAATAGTCTTTAAACAAAATAGATCATTTTATTTAGAGAAGATTAGCATGGCTGATGGGCTATTGGTTTTGTGCCTTATAATTCATGTGACACCTGCAAATTCACTCTTTTTCACCGGTATTTTCTGTGTGTGTGTGTGTTTTCTTCTACCAGCCCTCCTCCGACGCTCACGATAAAGAGTCTGGTACTTGGAGACTGAGAATCACCCCTGTCGATTACCTGCTGGGAGTGGCCGATCTGACTGGCGAGTTGATGCGGATGTGCATTAACAGCGTGGGCAACGGGGACATCGACACCCCCTTTGAAGTGAGCCAGTTCCTACGCCAGGTGTACGATGGGTTTTCATTCATTGGCAATACCGGCCCTTACGAGGTGTCTAAGAAGCTCTATACCTTGAAGCAGAGCCTGGCCAAGGTGGAGAATGCCTGTTATGCCTTGAAAGTCAGAGGCTCAGAAATTCCCAAACACATGCTGGCAGATGTCTTTTCAGTTAAAACAGAAATGATTGATCAAGAAGAGGGCATTTCTTAGAATAACATCACCCACTTGTTATTCTCTTGAACTCCTAAGAGAGACCAGTTTGTGAGACTGTTACTGGGTATTGTATCTGACTTTATTGTGGCTTTTACATAGGACATTTTCAGTTTCACTTGTTTGGAATTATAAACAAGCTGTACGTAAAATTATCAAAATGAAGCAT